ACAGATGCCGGCGAAATGTTAGGAAACAAAACTTCCAGAACACGGCCACACAGCCCGGAAGACCCACACCAGCCATCGAATAATGACATTGCCTTACCCAAAACCAGGTTCTGATTCAACTAAGCACTTAACCTGCAAGAAGAGTTCCATGGTGGAACCAGCTGCTGCATGAAACAGCAGCCTCTCCTTCCTGGGAAGCTGCTTAGCAGAGCCTGGACACCCACCTTTCAGGGATGTTCCAATTCTCAATGGAAGAGCCGAATACCTTTTCACCGTATTCAGGGTGAGGTCAATTGCCACGGATTGCGGAGAGGCCACCTGCTAATGGCTTTACCTGGAGGCCCCTGTGGTGGCAGCACCTGAGCGGCTGGGAAGGGATTCTGAATTCCAGAAGGACTGCCACAGCTTCTCGAGGTAAGGGAGCTGGAGGCTCATGACGACCTCGATGTTGGCCTGCAAGGAGAGACTGTCAGGCCCAGCCCAAGAAGAACGACGAAACAGTCCAGCCCAGTCCAGTTCCTTTGTTGCTTATGCCTGATAGACAGAATCCTGCCAGACTCAATCTGGACTACAGCAACTAGTGGAAATACCTGTGAGATTCCAGGGAGGGGCTATCCTGAACTGCTTCCCGTGCTCTCCCTGCGGACTCTGCTGCCTCCTCCCCCCTCCTGGAATGCCGCCCCCTTCCTGATAGCCTTGCTCTCCCACATCCTCTCCTCCTTGTAGATACCTTCCATCCCACAGATGCCCCATAAGGCCTCTTGCCGTGGGTTCCCTTTGGGGGAGTCTTGGGAACAGGGGGAGCGAGGGATCGCCCGAGAGACGTGCTCCCGAGGTCACCCCACAGTTGCCTCACGGCAAGGCAAGCAGGGGCGGGGCTCCCAGGCAGGCCCCCTTAAAAAACAGGCCCCGGTGTGAGAATCACCTCGCAGTGCTGTCGGTAGAAGAGCTGAAGGGTCTGGAGGTCATTTGCCTCGACTCCCTCCTGCAGGAGAACGTTTTCCAGATTCAGGACCGGGAATTCAGGAAGGACATGAGTAACATCTGGGGGGTAAGAAGAAAAAGATGGGTGAGCAGGAACAGCTGCCATTCACTAGGGGGAACGCTGTGAGTCAACGGGGGCAAAAAATCTGGAGGAGTCTCGCAGCACCTTTTCCGACTCACAAACTGTATTCAGAGGCTGCCCGTCCCCTTTATTTCCATCTTGAGGTCATCACGATTCCTAAAAGATATCAGCGACCCCCCCTCCCCCAAAATGAGTATGCCCACTTCCTCAGAAAATGGCTGGCTGATGGGTGCAGACGTTGACTATGGCACAGGGAGGACCTTGGACAAAGAGGGAGAAATGGGAGGCAAATCTTGGAGCACAGTCTGGAGGTAACGTGGCCAGAAGCCATTCCTGCCGCCATGACTTCTGTGTGTCCAACTGCTTATTGTGCGCGTGCACCATACTCACCCAACCCAGTTAACGTGGGTCAGAGACAGGCCTTGCGACCAGGCTTCGTTCATTTTCATCCTGCTTGGGGTTTATTTTTTATTTCCGTGACTTAGCATGTTGCACAAAGCCAGTCTTTGTTTGGTTAGGTCAGTGTTTCTCAACTTGGCCATTTTATGATGCGTGGACTTCAACTCCCAGGATTCCCCAGCCAGCATAGCTGGGAGTTGAAGTCCACGCATCATAAAATGGCCAAGGTTGAGAAACACTGGGTTAGGTCATACCTCAAAGCACTGCATGAATCCAAGAAAGCGGAGTATCTGAGTCTGAACATGCTGTGTGAACTTACTTCCCATGTCTGCACTTTGCACGCCTTAAGGGTAGGACTCCTGCCCCACTCCTGCACGCTGCTCCCAAAGTTACATGGTTTCCCGTCAGATCTTGGTGTCCTGGCTCTCGTGAGCTTCACGCTGGGAAAGCTCCGGTCGAAAAGGCCGCTGAGCTCCAGAAACACCAACACCGACATGCACAGACCAGCGCGGATTATTATCTGGAACATTTTCTCACCGATGTACTGCTGGTGGTGCTGACACTGGGCAGCAACAGACTCTTCGGGGGTGGTGTGGGGGGTGCTGATGGGGCCCCCCTCAGCCGCGCCATCCAACTTCTGGGAAGGTCGGTACCTGCGGAACAGGAGGGGGAGAGACCGCAGGTGCTCAGAAAGGCTCCCTTTGCGCTTAGGAGAAGCTGCCGAGCCCTCCGGGGATGAGTTGGGGGGAGCCGGTCAGGGGGACTTCTGGAAGCTCCCGGTTTCCCTGAGGAGGGAATGAGCGATGGGGTTGTCGTTCCACACTGACTTAATATTCCATTTTGAGGAAGCCATATTAAAACAATTAAATGACTTCCGTCTTCTGCACTGGCTTAAAATGCCTTCCATCCTTCTTGCCTTTTTTTAAAAAAAGCCCCTCCCAAGATGTTGCCCACGTCGCCAAGGGCAGGGGCCGCTACCTTTGCTTCTGGTGGGCCGGCTGCTGCCTCATGGCCATGTACTGGGCATCCTCCTGCAAGCGGTTCAGGGGGGACTCCGGCTTGAGGCGGATCCCGTAGTAATGGTACTTGGAATTCCCCCTGCGGAGGAAAACGGGCAGCTGTTCGGTTCCAAGATGGTGGGTGGCCACCCCCTTTGCAGCCCCCCCTCCTGAGAATGGGCCATGTGGGGCCTACGCGGGAGGGAAGGGGCTCTGCAAATCCCCCAAGGAAAATCCTTCCCAAAATTTGGCTATGCCCACTTGGTAACCTGCTGGCACCCCTGGCCAGACCCTCTGCAGCTTATCAGGACCGACCCTTCGTGCCCCACATGGCCTCAGCAAGTGGTGGGGAGCTGAAGCGTGCACGCATGCACACACACGAACACACCATGGTTGAATAATTGCTCCTCACATTCACACTCACTGGAGTTGAGCTTCATTTTCAGCTGGAAGGCCAGAGCGGGCCCCCATCCCTCCTGACTGCCGGGGGACTCCTGGCTTGCAGAATGCGGTTCCCCCCCAGCTCCCCAGGATCTCGGGGGCTGAGCCTTTGCCATGCCAAGGTGGGACCCCTTCCCACAGAGGGAGAATCCTTCCACCAAAGGCAACAGTTCTAAGCCTTGCGGAGGCGGGGAGTGAATGAGGATTATTGAAAACTTTTCTGGGCACCTTTGAGGGTAACCATTGAGGACTTTCATACCAAGTCAGGCCAGAAGCTACTTGGAAAAGGTATCTTATTCTAAGATAAATTCCAGTTTCCAGGAAGGAAAAGCAGGAAATTCAAGGGGGCTGCCAGGAGTCTTTCCCTTCTGAGCCAGGCAGACCGTCGTATTTCCACCTTTCATGTCCTCCGTGGAGGGCACGTTCAAAGCCGCTCCCAACATGGGAAACCAGGACAAGGGGGCGGCTGTCTCATGTACCAGCCTTCCCCAGCCCACAAATCCTGGGAATTGCAATCCTAGCCCTGTGTGGGTCGCCAGGTTGGGGAAAGCTGTGATGCAGCTGGGACTAAGCGAAGGGCCTCGAAGGATGAAAGCTGGGGTCGCAGAGGCAGGGTGTCAAGAGGCCCGAGTGGCCTCATGAGCCCCACAACATTATTGTATGAATGGAGCAAGCAATCACTCGCAAGCCCATCGCGTGGTTCACCACATTTGCACGATGACATGATGTGCGCAATGGCACCATGGCTTCTATGGATGCCTACGACTCCGGTTCAGGAGAAAGGCACCACCAGGGTTCAGGTGCTGCCTCCGTGGGCCTCTCTCTTTCCCTTAATTGCCCCGCAGTTCCCTGGAGGATCAGCACCAAAGGCAGGGGGTTCCTTCTTGAAAAGCAGCTCAGATTCCACAGAAAAAGGCTAAAAAAAAATGCTGGATATAGTGGAGGAAGGGCCTTGGGGTGAGAGTGAATCCTTAATGCTGTGCAAAGGGGAACCCAAACCCAGCTGAACCTTCTGCACCCAAAGTGAGCCTTTCTTGGCTCTGAGCTGCTAGGTATCCAGGGCCCCGGGGGGGGGGTCAAAAAAGGGCAAGATGGCAGCTGCAACCGATGCATGTAGAAAAGAGGCAGGCTTTCAATCGCACAGAGAGGAAGAGGATCCAGAATATCCCAGCTCTCCCCCCACCCCTTGCAGACCTGGTGCCTAGCCGACGCGTCCTCAGGCCCATGAAGACCGAGCGGATCAGCTTCCCAAAAGAGGCTGCATTGACCGGATCCAGCTTGTGCTCCTGGCAGTGACGCAGGTAATGGTTGTAGAGAGAACTGCGGGGCAAGCTGACCCCTTCAGCTGTTTCGTAGTTGTCCAGCAGCCACTGCAGCTGCTTGGAGGAAGGCGGGAGGGACGGGGGAGAAGAGAAGAGAAGACGAGGCGGGGTCAGGGTCAGGGTCCGGACCATCCCAAGGAGGATTTGCCCAGGTCTCTTGGGGGCCCTGGACGCCCAGAGAAAGGGAGAACAGGGCATGGAGAAGGCTGCTCAGCCTCCTGGGGAGGGGGCGTTCTCCTGATGTGCTGGAGACAACACCTTTGGACCTCCACCCCACCCCAGCAGCAGGGTTGCACTCTGGAGGGCACCTAGAGCTGGTTTGGACAATGCTTGGAAAGGCCATCTTGATGCCAGAGAGTTGATGGAAAGTTCAGGGTGGACATTGGTTCTCCTGCACATTGCAGAGGGTGGGACTAGGATATCAGTGTTTCTCAACCTTGGCCACTTGAAGATGGGTGGACTTCAGCTCCCAGAATTCCCCAGCCAGCAAGGCTGGCTAGGGAATTCTGGGAGTTGAAGTCCACCCGTCTTAAAGTTGCCAAGGTTGAAAAACACAGAGGGAGAGAGAGAGAGAAAAAGAGAGAGAGGTTCCCCCAACAGCCAAGAACTGTTATTTGAGGAAACTGGGCACATTCCTGAAAGTGTGAATTGGCTAATTAAAGAGAGTAATTATTCATTGACTAAGATACCCCTGCTCTGCTAGATTCTCCCACAGCTTTGCACCTTCCATCATATATGGAACAAAAGAGGAGACAAAAACCAAGGACATTTTCAACTGCATGAATGGAAACCCACTCCGGTGAAATTAGATGCAGTCTGAAGCAATTTAATGTACATTATATGGACCTTTTTTCTTCCATCACCTCCCACGTTCATCATAACCAGTCTTAGGGAAGGACCCTACATGACAGGAATGTTTGTTTTCAAACATTTTAACCACTCTTTAGTTTAAGTAAATAAAACAAAGTTACTGAACAAAATGTATATGAATCCCATTATTAACCAATTTTCCCATCTGATTTCAGGCTCATGGTTTCCAAAAAACTACCACCAAGATTTCAAAGAAGATGTGGTGGAAAAATGCTAAAATGATCATAATTATAGCAATAGTATTTATCATCATTGTTGTTTTCATAATTCTTATAGCCACAGGAATTATTCCAATGTAAGGAATGTTTAAGCAGTTAAAACCTACATGGTGTACCACATGTTCTATATGGAGCACAAATATTCATGTTTCAACCCTATTTTTACATACAAAATGCTTGCTTTCACCCATTAATAAAGTAGCTAACACTCCTTCCTCTCTTATTTGGAAGATTACTTTATTACCAAGTGACAGGCTATTAGATCTAATTAGAATGCTTCATAGAATGAAGTTACTATGAAAGCCGAGATTTATTTTCCCTCTTATTTAAAAATACCAGGATGCAATGCCTGACTTTGCAATGGATGGACTATCCAGGAGCTTCACTGCAAAACTGAAAAGCATTTAAGCCAATTGCCTCTTATAACTAGCCCTGAAAGTAGTTAATATGCAGTAAATGTTGATATCTGCATATGTTGATCCAGCTGCTCACACAACTAGAAAACTCACTTACTGTAGAACTACAGGTAGTCCACATTTAGCGACCACAATTGGGTCCAGCAACTTACATGTTAAGCAAAGCAGCTGCTAAGTGAAATAACTGTGGTTACAATCTTATTTCAGCTTTCCTTTGCTTTACAGACCTGCAAAGGTCGTAAATGCAACGATTGGCCATAAAGATACTATTTCACCACCATAACTGTGAATGGTTGCTAAACGAGGCAGTCACTAAATGAGGACTACCTGTACTGATATTAAAAGTTCCCAAACTTTTTTTAAGTTTGTACTTAAACACACTTTGCCAGTACTTGTATTATGCAAGGAATCCCCACTCTTTTTGGGCCAGTGAATGGATGTGGAATTCAGAAAACATCCAAGTGCTCATGCAATATGGCTACTGGGGAGCTTGCTCAATCATAACATGGCTGCTATGAGGAACATAACATAGATAGAAGCATCAATCTACCAGAATAGGATTCATTACCCTTCAAGCCCTCTTCCATAGAATACCATTGACGTTGCTTAAAGTCTCATGTTAACCTTGACATATCCATGCAACTCTCTCGGCAGCAATACAGAACTGCTTGCCATAATCATCTTCTGGGATATTTTTTTAACCTTCCCTCTCTACCCTTCCACCCAAGGACTTCCTAGAGGTCTCCCATCCATCCAAGTAGCAAACAGGTTGAATCCTACTTAGCTTTTAGAGATTAACAAAAGATATCCAGGTGTTTAAATCTAGGTGGGTTGCCCTTGCTTACTTTTGGCCTTTTTGAGAAGTCAGATTACTTCCAAAGAACTGGGCTGGATCTACCCTTCACTTTCACTCTCCAAAGTAACTGGGGCCATTTGGAGCCCAGGAGAATGCTTGTTAAACATCTAGTGCTGTACAAAATGGAGGTTTCCCATTTTTTAGTGATACAAAAAGTGAGATAGGAAGCTTGGTCAGTACCAAGCAAGGTGGCTATGAACATATTGGTGCTTTAGGCACCATCACACTGGAAGGTCCAGCATAACTGGGATCAGAAACTTAGGTTTCGACAGGCATTATTACTGAATACAGTGACACTGTTCCCGCAGGTTTAAAAATATTTTTTCAGGTCAATACAAAAAAGGTTAAATTGCACTACATTTTAATCCAAAATCAATTCAGAATGGCAACCTCCCACACTGGAATTATGTGGTTTATAGAAGACTCAAATGTGGTGCACTATAACAGGTGGCCATACTTGAGTTTTACTGCACACTACATCAAGTACAAATTAAGGTCTAGGTATTTCCCTACAGAATACTCTAATTATTATTTGTTACCAAGCATCTATTAAGTCAGAACCAGCTTTTCTGGAATCTGAAAACAGCAGTGAGCTTTCAAGGATGTGGAGAAGATCTTGTATATATAAGATGCTCCACCTCTCTTTCTATTAGGGAGCCTTTTGCTTCAGTTGCAGGCCATGCTTTTAAATGTTTAAATCTCCAAAGACAGAAAGGATATAGCAGTGATGTCATGCAAGAAGATGGAGGCCTCTGTGTTCTAAATAGCGCAACCAGAATTAATTCCTATGCAGTCTTTCCTACTTTCTACCAACAGAGTCCAAATTTTAAAAATTAGAAATGATTAAAATGTTGCAGATGTGCCCCTGGTGCCCACACTGTGAAGATTTAACCATTTTTTACTAGTCAGATACAACCTTTCATGAAAGACAGAAAACAGTCAAATTTCCAATAGCCTTCTTCGTTCCTGAGAAAAATAAATCCAGTGCACATTTATACAAAAAGATTTATTAAAAAACCAGTAAGACACTACTACATCATGACACTGTCACACTGGGTTTTTAAACACAAGACTTGCTCTACAATACTTGGGAACAAAATGGGAGTGGGGCATAAATCAAATTGATTCTTAAGCATAGCAATTAAAAAATAAGACGGTGAAACAATTCTGTTGCAATGAGAGTGCAATCAAACGTCAGAGGGACCAACATCTTACTTTCAATTCAGTGACTTGATACAAAAATGTTTAGTTTGACTGCAGTTAGCAGGCAGCATGAGCCACCTCAAAATGAATCTTCCAATGAGAATACTGCTTGTCCACCTAGAGAGAAAGAAAAAGAAAGTCAGTTTGTGAAGACCAACAACTGCAGCCAAAGTTTACAGAAAGTGTTTAGATAGCCCTATTTCCCACTATGTAAATATTGTATCAACATTAATCAAATATGCTTTTTATATTAAAGCTGAACAGGAGAGTCCATGAGCTGGAAATCCACATGTGCACCACTGTTTGAAAAAGGATCTTTCCACATCTGAAATTACTCAAGAAATATTTATTTCACAAAATGCCGTAAAGCATCTCCAAAAACCCTTAATGCTCAACCACCACTAGTTAGTAGTAGTGTGGTCAGTGACTATTTTGGCCCAAGACCATTGTTAAAGAGTTATGCTGGCCAGCTAAACAGTACTACTTGTCCATTAAAAGAAATGCAATAAGGAGAAAGAGTTAACAGTCTACTATAAGTAGTAAATAGGGGTGTGTGTATGTATATATAGGTATATATTGAAAAGTTAAGAGAAGTTGTCACAACAGGACTTCAGCTCAAGAACATCTTGCAATTACTGCTACACAGTGTCTATAAAAATGGGAAAAGCAAGCATTAAAATAGATTAATAAAATATAAAATTAATACTGGAAAATCCAGAGACAAGCTGTATCCTTAGAAGAACAAACAGTTAAAATTATTCAGTAAGCTGACGTATTTAACCATTACTGGGCCTGTAAAAAATGCATTAAAATTATATTACAAGTAGTTTGTTTTACAAGCAAAGAAATAAGTGAAGGCAAAGCTTGAAGTATCCATTTTATTATAATGCTGATACAGGATGTTGGAAGAGACCATACCAAACGGCAGCATTCGAGAGCGTGAGCATCTCGTACCCTGTCCGCATTGAGCGGGCCTGTGAGAATCGGGAAGTCAGCGCGACACAGGGCCTGCAAGGAAGTTCCCGCTGGCGGGTACAAACAAGGTATAATATCAGAGTTAGTAGGCAATACTATTTCGCTGCAATTCCTTAATTTGTACCCATTAGCAGTACTTTACCTGTTAACTTTATTGACTTGTTAATATATAGGGCAAAAGGTAAAAGCTTAAGAGGACCTGTGTTACTTATCTTCAAAGTCATTATGTTATATTACGGTAAGCACTTCTGGGTGCTGTAAAATTTTAAAACATTATTACAGTATCTTACACAATGTTTTTGAAAGCTACTATTAATTACAAAGTTAGAATGCAGCTTTGCAAATGCAGAACATACCTGTCTGTTATAGGCTGCAAATGGAATAATTTAGTACGGTTTGTAGCTATTTTGATGGCCTCCTCGCCGAGATACCTTCCCATAACCACTCTGCTGATCTAAATAAAAAGTTCAGGTGTAAGGCTCAAAAGACTGAAGAAGCTACTGTGAAACATCCATTTCTTTTGTAAAAGATTAGAACCACCAGGAAACCTCTTCATATTATATTAAAATTACAAACCTATCTAAAACAGATATAAATCTATCGAAGTAATTTATTAAATAATCATGACTGCCAAAATAAAAATCAAGAGTATTGAATTAAAAAAAAAAAAAGGTACTCCAGCAATACTTCTTCCAGAAGCAGGTAGCAATAATGACAGAAGCTGAGTCTTAACTATTTCCTCATATAAAAGGGAAGCGCTAGTGACATACTTGATTAGCACCATACTGTAGGGAAATCAACTGCTGTTAGAAACTCCAAAAACTTCTAGAAGTGTCTTTATAAATGCCTGTATGGACTGTGTAAGGAATGCTGCCTACTGTTCTAGCTTCAAGTTATACTGACTTATGAATAGATACACCAGCTTTCTGCCCCAGCTGGCATGCTTCTCCAATCCTTTCAGTGTCCCTTAGCAATTTTTGTGCAAGATACTGCAAAGGTGCAAAGAGCAAGACAGGAAAAAAGTGAGGAAGAAAAGGAATTAAAAGCAGCGGGGCTCTGGTACTGATATATCGTGAGAATTGCTCCGTAGCAATCAGCAGCTGAAAGCTGAAAATTCTTCAAACTGGAACTATGGGATTCCACTAGCAAAGTTGTCAGCTTTCATTTCCTTGGACAGATGTTTTCCAACACAGAGTCCAGTATCTTCTGTTCAGATGCTATTCAGCCATTTTCAATTGCCCACAGAAGAGCACGTTCCATCTTTTGAAAAGCCAATCGCTACAAGCACAATGTCTTTGTTGTTGTTTTAAATAACAGCAAAACTGCAAAACATTCTGTGCATGGAGCAGCTCCTTTCAGATGATCCACGTCCAGAATGAAACACAGGCGTTCCAGGCAAGAGTGTTCCAGGGAGAAGGGGGAGGAAGCCAAGACAGCAGTGGTGGCAGTCTGCAGTGGCTGAACAGAGATAGGGAAAGGAGGCCCCTGAGAAAATTGGTGAGTAGGCAATGCACAGGCCATGCGGAGTAGCTGGGGAACAAGAGGTGAGAAACACCAGGCTTATCCGTATCAGCCAACATGACCCCTCCAGATCTTGTTTCATGCAAACCCCAGAACCATCCAAATGTTTTAGTTCTCCTGAGCCACAGCTGACCCAGAATGCTTTGGTAGAACTTTTGGAACTCAATGTGTTCTAGGTTTGAAATAAGACTGTTTCCCATTTATTGACACCCCAACAATACATCAAGATAAATTTTGCTCTATACGTACTACTATAATCTCCATATCCATAATAGTTATTGTAGCCAGTGTAGTCATATCCTCCATAGCCTCCATAACCTTGACTGTTGTATCCATAGTTGCCATACCCCTGATTCCAATAATTACTGTATCCTGGGTTCCAGCTTTGACTGGGGCCTACAACAAAATTAAGAGCAGAATTACAGCAAGAAAACGGAAACAAATCAAAGGTTTGACCTGATAATATCAATCACATTCAAGCAAATTCCCTTGAAATCAGTAAGTTTTTGTTTCCAAACATACAAACGTAAATTTGTACATTACACACATTTGATGCTAACTATGGTTAAGCCATGCACCTTTCAGCTCAGGTACCAAATAACACGTCAAAAGATTCCCAGCCAAAGTTTGCTGATCAGTTGACACCTGAGCAGAAATTCCAGCCACCTTTGTTGCAGCAAGCTGCTTCATACTTCCTTTTCTTCTTTGACACTTTTAAAAAAATCTGAAAAATCTCAACCAACCTTCTCTTACTACTCTATTTCCATTTTATTATTTGGGGGGGTGGGGTGGCAGGGCATAGGGAAGCCTAGACAATCAACCCATTCTGCAGGTACTCCAGCCTCCCAACAGCCCAAAAAGGGGAGCTAACTGGTTTGAGCCAACCCTCACCTGTCTGGGTACAGACAACATGCAGGGAAGGAATTCAGATAAAGAGGGACAATAAATCATAGTTTCTGATGCTGGCTAAGGCACTTCTCATTGACATAATTTTACCCGTGGCATGGATACTGACATCATGCTTAACTATAACATGGTTTAAAATGCTGTACAAAAACAATTCATGTGTTTAATTTCAGGCAAGCCAATTAGGGACTTTTGTGGTGCAGCAGCAACTAGATCACATTGTGCCACACGTGTAGGTATGTTACATAACTTTCCCAGCTGTTCAAAAATATCCCTCCAGCAGTCCCTTCTCAAATTTGAAAAAAAATGGCACACAAATTAATGTCTTCATCTAGACACTTCATCTAGTGGCCGAGTTTTAAGTTTGGTGAAAACTGTAAAGAACCGTGAAGCGTGTGCTTGATAAAAAGTTCAAAACACTCAGACGTTTGGAAAAGATTCCCTTCCAGCAGATGTTGGCATTTTTTAAATGCAGAAACTTACCTCCACCTCGGCCACGGGCTCTTCCAGCAAATCCCCCTCGAGTTCCCCACTGCTGTTGCTGCTGATACTGCTCTTTTGACATTGCTACTTTTATTTCACACTGAAATATTTAAAAAAAAATAAACTGAACACATATTTTGATATTTTTGTGAAGTGTTAATTATTACTCCACATTATAATCTTTATCAATTACTTAAATGCTTCTATATTCATTGGGAAAGGCAAAGCAAAATATACTTCATGTGATTTGTCAGTACAATTTTTAAAATTTTACAGCACAAATAATGCAAATTTGGTAGAAGACATTTAGCATCAAATACAAGTTCCCTCAATACTGTGGTAAGAATTATGTTTCACTAGTACATCAATACATATTCTGGGTCAATATTTATCTGGTTTAATATTTTTTTTTAACTGGCAAAACCTTCTTATTAAATGTCTGCTTTTGAAACTAACTTAATTTCACCAAATAATATAAGCTCCAAATACAGGAGCAAAAAACAAATTATTTTAAAAAGCAAGAAAACACCATTACTAAGACAATGATAACCCATGTAACATACACTTTTTAAAATTACTATTACCATTATTAAACTATTTCAAATCAGAAGCAATTAGAAATCCAGTGACTCTTATTGAAACAAAAAATTAGACTACATGACACGTACACACACACACACACACAATAATAATATATCCTATGACACATGGGAGAAAAAATGTTGCAATACAGAGCACCTCTTATTAACTGTTTCCCCTTCTGAAAAATGTGTAATTCTTTCAAGTCTATCAAATCATTATTAGGTATGAATTTGCTGTATTGATTAAACAAAGATCCAATAAATGAGCTTGTAATTAATCACTGATAATGATTCCAAACTATTTGTTCACCAAAAAGAGGGTTTTGAGAAGCATGCAACAGATGCATCACACTTGTTACAAGTGTAGCTTCATCCAAGGAATCCACACCAGCCTCTCCATTTGTGTTCTCTCCTGTCTATACTTCAATCTTCAAAGCACTGACCTGAACAAAACCAGGATTCGCTTTCTAAAAAGAAGGCGTTTTGGAATCATAGCTTGAAACATACTTTACTAAGACCAACGTTATGATATTTTTTCTCCATGATTTTCTTCACTGGTTCTTCATCTTTGAAAGTAATGAAGCAAAATCCTCGGCGCTTATTGGTTTTGTTGTCCATAGGAAGTTCTATTGATTCCACCTGATTAAGAAATATAACAAACAAGATTGATAGAAATCAGTTATTATATGGTTCTAGTTTTTATCAAGGTTAATAGTAATTTATTAATTAAAATTAAGCAAATATTATACTAAATAATCTGAAGAAACTTCCTATTAGCCCATTTACTGAGAATATTTTTATACTGCTCGCTATACATGGACTTTTATTTATTTACAAGAGTACACATAAAATTGGTAACCACTAAAATCAATACAAAATCCAACTCAGCATCCCTATAAATCAATATGTCTACGCACTAGGAAAAGACAGCTCTTAAGGATATATACTCCTTATTTTACTTTTACAGAAAAGATGTCTGAAGTTTTACCTGTCTCTGCAAAACTTTCTATTTACATTTAATTTGAAATGCTCTGTCCATGTAATTAGAATTGCTACTATATTGAAATAAGTGCAGTTCCCCTCTCTGTTCAACTCAGCGCTAAAACTCCTGTTGATTTCAGTGAAGCTGGCATTACCTTACAGCTCTGGAAATTATCACCAATACAAACATGACATTCTAAACGGTGACAGATCAACATTTAAATTGACTTCTGCGAAAAAAAGTAAGGGATCCCAAGAAGCATCTGGTTTATGATAACTTACACTTTAGGGATTATGAAGACTATGCACTCTGTGCCCTCAGATTGAGGACAAGATTAAAACTGACACTTACATAAACAGGTGTGAATCAAGTAGTCAAACCAACACTCAGAACAAATGTAAGTTGTTTTCTTCTTCTGAAGTATTTTACTGATTCAAATATTTAAATCATTAAGAATTCTTTAACTAGGACATGGGCAACAATTAACTTACCTCACCAAAACCTCCAAAATACTCCCTTATTTTCTCTTCTGGTGTATCTGGAGACAAGCCACCCACAAAAATCTTTTTCACTGGCTCTTTTGTTTTCATTGCTTTAGCTCTTTTGGGATCAATCACTTTGCCATTCAGTTTGTGCTCTTTCTGATCCATGACCTGAAAACAATTTCCTTTTTTTAAAAAAACGAGCTTTACAAAATAAAACAAATTAACTTTTCATGACTATAATGCAAACCACTGATGCCTGTTCGTTTGTACTATCTCAAAATTAACAGAACCTCAAAAAACTTGCACATATTTGCATTTTTTCATTACTGATATGTGCTTGTCTAATTAGAAATAAATAAAAACATGCTTACCTTGTCCACACTCTCAGATTCTTTGAACAGCACAAAACCAAAGCCTCTTGACCGCCCTGTGATAGGGTCTAACTTCAGGGTGCAATCTACAACTTCACCAAATTTTGTGAAGTAATCCTTAAGATCCTTCTTTGTAGTATCCCAGCTAAGGCCTCCGATGAACATTTTTCTGTAGACACAATTGAGTTTAAAGCTGTAAATTGTCAACACTATACCCTTAACTTACCACGATATGTCAGAAATATACCTGATTTGACTTTAAGGTTCCAAGATTACAAAAATGTTTTGAAATAAACAATTCATGTTCACAATCACTTTCTGTGACCTAATGTGCACTAGAAAAATAAACAGAGTGTCTGGAATATATTAATTATCTTAATATCTAACTTAAGAGAAATAAGCATATATGGAATCTAGCAGTGGCCATAGACACACACACAAACCCCACTGATTCTATCAGTGAAACTTGGGAGGGGGTGATTCACACCACAGATCTTACTCTTCAAAATCTGCTCTGGCTTGAGGCTGATCTGCAGATGGAAATAGTTCCATCAGACTGGCATTACTGCATGAAGAGAAAACTAGCAAAGGAAAAGCCCCACGCAAGTAACCTAAGCCTAATTGCTTTCAATCAGCCTGAAAGGCTCTCTTCAGAAGAGGTTACTCATAGTATTTTTTTTACTTAAGTAGCAAAGCTAATCAGAATACTATCCTAACAGCAAAGCCCCATTCCTTCCTCCTTTCTGCTAACTGACAGTCCAAGCTAAAACCCGCTCAATAGCCTAAAATACTTCCCATAGCTAGAAGCTTACCTACATAAGATAAAGTAGTGCTGCCACCTTGGCATGGAAGTGACCACACAACTGGCTGGCTCTGCTTACATGTCATATCCAAGGCTGCTTTTACTCTATTGCAACAAAACAAAGTGATGGGGTTTCTTAGACCTTAGTGCAAACACAAGTGATTTTGTCTGAATGCATATCAAAATAAAATTTGCACCAAGTTTAAAAATAGTAGTAATGATATATCAGCTTCAGTCTCATGACTTTGAAAGTGAATATATCTTTGTCGCTGTTAGAACTGTGTACAAACTATACAGAATGGTACAGAATCTGCTAATCAATCAATATGGATTGTCAAGTTTTCAGAATTCATTGTCATGAATTATCTTTATAATTCCATATGCTATAGCAAGGAGAATTTTCATGTAATATAACATTGATATTACTACAATAGATCTCTGTCACATAAAGTACCTAGCAGCAATCTCCAAAATGATAAGTAGGGACATGTTCAGCCACTCCCTGCATAGCAATGCCAGACAAAAAAAAATTATAATCAGGAAACTACTGAATATATCGTATATTCAAGTTTCCCAAACAGACCAAAATGTGTGTGTGTGCAGGGGGCGACGGGACTGAAATGTGAAGATATAAATACTGAAGAAAAAAACCATAATTATCTCTACTTCAAAACAGCATACTAAAGTCTTGTTTAGAAGGCTGCCCCTTCTCTTCCCAGCAAACACCATGGAATTCCTTATCTTAAGTTTGCACCTTATACTCTAGCACTTGGCTTGCAACACGTGATGATATATGCGTAACTGTTGACAGAATGCGCCATATTTGGGCTGAATGAACTTTTACATGGAAAAATTAACATTTTCAGAAGTGGGTCATGCAAAAAGAACCAGCTGACACATATTTAAGTTAAAACAAATAAGCACATTTGTTAGATAAACGGGCATCATTCCAAAGGCAGATAACCAGATGCATGTTTGAAAGCAGGGACTCATGGCTACCAGTGGCCAATGGAGCACCCCTCAGAATTAAAATCTGGGGCCTCTGATGAAAGCTTGGGAATTTAAGCAGAGAAACCAGAGCCTCTGGCTTTCCAGAGGCTTATGACAGAACAGGAGAAATCAGCTTAGGGAGAGGGGAAAACCAAGAGATAAAAATAGCATCTTAAGCTTCAGCAAGGCTTAAGGTCTCTCAACCGTTAAAAACCATCCCCAGAAGTTAAAAAAGAAATTACCCTAACCTATTCTAATACCATAACATCTCCAGCCATATCTTTGTGGCCCTAGAGACCAAATAACAGTGTTGCCTTCTTTCCCCCAACCTTCAGTAATTGTATGTTGGTTAAAGACTTGGGGGGGGGGGGGGACACACATTAAAAGTGACAAAAGTGCTAAGTGAGCTATTGGACTTCTTATGTTGTAAGCAATTCCACACTGAATTGAAGGAGTAGATTCCTTCCCTTTAAGATAATCAATTCCTTAATAGATTCCTTCCCTTTCAATAGATTCCTTCCCTTTCTTAACTACTTAAAGATTATGTTTTCAAATACACCAAAAAAGTGTATATTTACGAGACTGATACAGTACAACTGACCTGTGTATTTCAAATAGAACATGCAAATCATATGCAATATCTGAACAGCTTTTTTTTTTTTAATTAATGCACTACTTTTGGTTGCACTAAAACAGGGTTTTTCAAAGGGCTTTTCCACTAGATCCTGAAAGGATTCTGCGACAGACTAAAGGGGGAAAAAAGTTCACTCAAACACAGCCAATTTCTTATCACTAGAGCTTTGCCTCTTGATTCGGGGTTCTGATAACAGTATTTAAAGCAGGTTCTGCAGCCTAAAAAAGTTTGCAAACCTCTGCATTAGAGAACCAAACCTATATATTGTACTACATACAAAACATGAAGTTATTCTTCTCACATTGGGTGCCCTCCAGGTATTAATAACCAACCATGCTAACAACAAAATCAAAAGTCGAAGGATCAACATTAGGATCTAGGTGTTTGCATTCGTCAATGCCTGCCTTTCATGTGTTCATTAATCTACATTTCACTTTAAAAAACACATTCAAATTCAATCCCCAAGTCTAAAGCAAGCCTTTCAGATTCTCCTCCTGAAACTAAGACGAAAGCTATACGATTTCTCTAGTGCTATAAACTAGCAGTATATCCCACAATACATTTTTGTGGCTGCATACATGTCCCTTTACCAACAAAAAGCTTCCCCCCCCCGCTCATCCGGCAAATCATTCTATGTTCTTTCCACCTCTGTCACACGTTACTCCAGATTAGATTTTGCTTCTGGCCCAGAGGTGGCACATGAAGTAATAATAGCGTGCCATTCGCTACTTGAGACCACAAGTATGAGGCTTCGGCTACCGCTAACCTGCCTTAGTTCGGCGACCTCTACCCTCCCACTCAGGATGCGCTGACGGCGGCCGAGCGCGCGGAGGGCGAAGCGGCTTGCGAACGTCGCGGCCTAAAACACGGCCCGAGCAATTCCTTCGAAGGGTCGACTCCCCCATGCCAGCGGCGCCCGACCTCCCCGCGCCTCAGCCGCCCAAGTTCGGCGCGCTTATTCCAAGGGTCGCTTGAAGCCATCGGAGAAGGGGG